AACCAGTGAACACAATGATGTTGAAGTGAAGCAGGATGTCCCAGGATGGTTCAGGCGTACTAAAAAATCTTTCTATGCTGAAGCTTTCCAGGCATTAGTTAAACGCTAGGATAAGTGTATAAATATAACCGGGGAGTATGTAAAAAAAATAAATGCAGTTTCTACTTTTTGGAATTTGTTCTTTTATTATATAAACTCAAAAGTCCCGGTTTGTCTTGAACACCCCTCGTATATAATGTAATTATTTGTACAGAGAGCTTTATTTTTGTACTGCCATGTGTAACGCCACACGTGACTTGTACACAATTAATTCCCTCAACCACCTCCCAGTTAGTTTTGGGATGCCACACTCCTGGGCTCAAGAGCAATGATTTTTAGCCGGCCCATGAGGACAGTGCCTCTTTTGGAGGGGGGTGAGTGTAGCACCCTCCTAGATTAGGTGCTAGATTAGGTGCTAGAAGTGACGCAAGTTTATTTATTTTTTTGGTTCTGCTGTTAGAAGTAGAGACATAATTGTGTTTTGCCTATTCTGAGTTCTGCAGCTGCAGGCTTACCTGTCTCCCCGTCTTTCCTGAATCTTCTGGAAACAGTGAGGGAGAGGGTAGAGCAGCAATGGGCAAACTACGGCCCACGGGCCGTATACGGCCCAGCAGACCTTTTAATCCGGCCCGCGGAGCGTGATAGAAAAAAAAAACAGCCAGGGCAGGCAAACATTGGCTGTCAGGATGTGTGTAGCAGCGTGACGAACGTGAGGGGAGCTAGGCTCCTCTCACAGTCCGCCCTAAAGACCGGAACGGCGCGGGAACACGGCGAGAGGAACGCGCGGAGCAAAGGTAAGTAAATTGACACAGGGGGGACTTGGCTTACTACTTGGGGGGGAATAGTACTATGGGGGATGAAATACTATATGAGGGATGAATTAATATGGGGGGTGAATTAATATGGGGAATTAATTACTATATGGGGGATGAATTACTATGGGGGATGAATTACTATATGGGGGATTAATTACTATGCTTACTATGGGGGAATTTACTATACTTACTATGGATGGCATGGTAGTGGCTGGGCCGGCCAGCAGCTAGTGGGGGGCATAAAAGTTTTGTAAAATAACTCTTTTTATGCTTTTCTACCTTAAATTAATCTAAACATTTAATGTTACAAATTTTAATTTAATTTATATTATTTCACACATACACATCATTCATCTACTCTTGGTCCGGCCCCCGGGTCCAATATATGAACCCATTGCGGCCCTCAAGTCAAAAAGTTTGCCCACCCCTGGGGTAGAGTCTGAGCTGGCTCTGTATACACACTCAGCCAATTCCTGTTTAAGACTAGTGACCACTAGAGGGCTGAGATTGGTATATAACAAGAACAGAGAGTAGCAGGGTGAGATTTGATACCCCTAGACGGAAATACCTTGTGCCTGGCTACTTGTACACTTAAGAGATCAGAACCTGGGATCAAATATAATGGGACCAATCTGGTAGGTCTGCTACAATTTCATGCACTACTTTTGATGCTGGATCAATTTCAGCCCATTAATTTAAATGTGCACTGCACCTGGATCACATGTGAATCACACAGGAACACACAGCAGGGTCCTGCGTGATTCATGGTTTGAACCGGTCCTAAAAGATGGGCTACCATCAGGGTCTGTGCACACTAATACTCTCCTAACTGCTTTTCTTCTGGCAGGAGAAAAGTAGCTGAAAAGATGAGCCTAAGCCACGTTTTTGTAAACCCATCTTCACGGGTGTTTACTTTGATTGAATGTATGGTGTCTTACACCAATTTGGACATTTATGTATTTACACGTTTTTGTACGCAATTTTAGTGACATGCGTTGTTTTTAGTGATCATCGATTTTTCACGTCATGTGATTTAATATATGCACTTTATGCATGCGGTTAGGTATGTGTTTGTCTGTAAACACTGTTTTGATTATTCATTTGAATTGTTTTTTCTGTTGTAAGGGAGTATTTTTTGATCCATGACATTTCATGCGTTTCTCATTATTTGTTTCTTTTGGAGCACGGTTGATATTGTAGTCCCATTTGGACTAGTTGGATGGTTCACTATCACTTATAGATCCTATTAGGATCAATTGGGCACATTAGTCCCGATTGTGGATGTTTCTGGACTTTTCACCTCTATAGATATATCTTTATTTATGTGCACACACACATTTGTGTGAATATTTTTTGACCACTTTTTGTGTATATTTCCTATTTATTCTTTTCACTTTTTCTGATCTTATATAGATCATATTCACTTTGTAGACAGCACTTGGGAGTTTATTATATATTATTTATTATTCATGTTAATTTTGATATATTTTATGCGGTTTTATATCTTCCAAATATACGTATGTAATATTGCACATACTATATTTTTAGTAGCACCACATAATTTTCTCTCTCTCTCTCTCTCTCTCTCTCTCTATATATATATATATATATATATATACATATATACACACACACATCACCCCCAGTTAGGGTTGCCAAGTACAGGGTTGAGGTAGAGTTGTGTTCCTTAACAAATATTGTTTCTACAGCATATTACTCTTCTTGTTTAATTGTCACAGTATATTTCTCTTCCTATTTAACCATTGCAGTAAAATTCTCTTACCATTTATTCATTACAGTATATTTCTCCTTTGTTTACCCTGTTGCAATATACTACGTGCTGTTACTTAGCCAACTGTGTTGTTCCTGGTGTCTTTGCACTTTGAGCCTTTGGGGTGAATATACTGTTACCTGCAATAAACATTCACCACCCTGGGAAAGACTACTGATGAAACTGGTGAGCTATATTCGCTGTGGATGCTGCCACCAATGTCTTTTAATGCTGTTTACATATTACTTGAGGTGCTTTTTTCATGAGTTTACCTACTGAGGAGCTTTTTAATAAAAGAGTACTGTAGAAAGAGCACTATTTTTGGTGAAAAGACAAAGGACAGGAGCTCCATTTCCCATGGCCCCAGATGCCTAAAAGCCCATGGTGGGGCAAGCACATTGAGACCTTGATTCATATTGAGGTCAAATAAAGAAGGTGAGCGTATTGGATGCACATGGGGAGGATGCATGTATCACTTGGAGTGTGGAGGAACTTCCCATTACAGCACATTGGTTATGGATTTTTGCTTATGTCTTTATATAATTGTTCACATAGCACTTAGGGTGCTTGGTTTATGTGGGTTTATTTATTGAGAAGTCTTGTTTATAAAAACAGTTCTGTACAGAGAGCACTATTTTCGGTTCCGTTTTATTTTACCTACATACCTACCTGAGGTGGAGGAGAGTTGGTGGAGAGTCAGAGGAAAACAGGAGTATCACTCCCTATGGCCACAGATAACTAAAAGCCCATGGTGGGGAAGCAAGTGCATTGAGACCTTGATTTATATTGAAGTCAGATAAAGAAGGTGAGCGTATAGGATGCGTATGGGGTGGATGCATGCATCACCTAGAGTCTGGAGGAATTGAAGAGATTATTACAGCACATTGGTGGTGGATTTTTATGGATGTCTAAAAGGAGATTGTAGATGGGACTTTATGTTTTGTTGATTTTAATTCCTTTATGTTAATTTCTGTGATTGCGCTACATTTTACATATTGCATAGTTATCGAGAAGTGTAGTGAAAAGCACTGGGTAATGTCCTTGCAGCAATCTTTTTTTGGGTATCAACATAGGATTGCACTGATTGTTTTTTGAGTGCAAACTATGAAAATCAGGAGTTTTGATTTCCCTGGCCTCATATTTGTTTTGGATTTGAGATTCAAAAAGTACGGAGTAGCCAGCAGGTAGCATTTTGGTAAAGAGCTTCACAATGGTAGCCCACATACTGTATTTCCCTCCATATAGGTATCAGGCTTTCTACGTAAAACAGTTTAAAAAGCAGTGATGATATACAAAGTGAAGTAACCCATAGCAGCTATAGGCCCCTTTCACACAGTGCAAATTCTGTTCTGATCAGCAGGGGATTGGGAGCTGACACCCTGCTGATCGCAGCAGAGTAGGTGGTTGACACATCTGTGTCTGCAGAGTGGACATGGGCTGAGCCTAATCTGCCCCATTGGCAGTCGGCAGTAAAAGGACTCCACTCTCCATTTACATCCAGGCTGTCTGTGATCCACTCCACCTGAATAGAAGAGGATGGCATCCTCTCCCGTTTTTTTTTTTCTTTTTGCGGACCTGATTGGATCTGAAGGCAGCGGGTGTAAATGAACACAAGTCCATTTACACCCGCCTGTACATAGGGATGAATGGACCATCTGCTCAGGTCCACTTGAAAACTGACAGGTGGGCCTGATTGTAATGCCTGTCTGAAAGGGGACAAACATCTCTAGACTCACATAAACTAAAAATGCAAATAAAATCAGTTGCTTCCTAATTGACACCACCCATTGCACGATATCCCTGATCTCTTCAGTGTCTTACTGGCTAAACCCTAATAATGCAATGTTTCTGATCTGTGATTCACTTAGCTGTGTGTTCCTATACAGGATAATAATATTATAAATGTAAACCAGGAGCCTGAAAATGAATTACAGCTAAAGTCTGATGAGTGATTTACTAAAAGCATTTACTAGTATACAGTCAATAATGGTATACCCTTGTCTCCAGGTACTAGCGTGCATAGTGATGACAATCCAGTTGTATAGCTTATGGCTCTGGCTGTAATATCCAGTAATGAATGCACTGGGGAGCTATAAATTGCTTTCTTTTTTAAAGCAGAACATCAGGCAGATATAAAAAAAAAAACAAGTATTTCGCATTTATTCCAGATACGGATTCTTAAAAAATGTGACGTGTTTTAAATATGATTATTGTAAGTACCTGAAAATGTCTTAAAGCATATCTAAACCATAAAACATAATGTAATATACAGCAGGCAAAATACCGTATTTTTTTCTCTATAAGACGCACCTAGGTTTTAGAGGAGGAAAACAAGAAAAAAAATATTTTGAACCAATGGACTGCAGACATAGTACAGGAAATGACCAGAGACTGCGGATGTACTACAGGAGATGACCAGAGACTGCAGATATGGTACAGGAGATGACCAGAGACTGTGGACGTACTACAGGAGATGACCAGAGACTGTAGACATAGTACAGGAGATGACCAGAGGCTGCAGACATACAGTTGTGACCAAAATTATTCAACCCCCACTGAAATTGAGTGTTTTGGCCAGTTTGACATTGCTTTTGATCATTCAGTCATCTTGCTTACATTTACATTAAAGAGGCACTTGTAGGTCAGACAAATATAACATAACAGTTATAATGAAATAACCACAAATGTCTTTTCTGTGCTCACAGCATTATCAGTTTTATTCAACCCCCAAGTGACATTCAATCTTAGTACTTAGTACAGCATCCTTTTACAGTTATAACAGCTTTTAAACGTGAAGCATAGCTTGACACAAGTGTCTTGCAGCGATCTACGGGTATCTTCGCCCATTCTTCATGGGCAAAGGCCTCCAGTTCAGTCACATTCTTAGGCTTGCGCACTGCAACTGCTTTCTTTAAGTCCCACCAGAGGTTCTCAATCGGATTTAAGTCTGGTGACTGCGATGGCCACTCCAAAATGTTCCAGCCTTTCCTCTGCAACCATGCTCTAGTGGACTTGGAGGTATGCTTGGGATCATTGTCCTGTTGAAAGGTCCAACGTCTCCCAAGCCTCAGGTGTGTGACGGACTGCATCACGTTTCCATCCAATATCTCCTGGTACTGAAGAGAATTCATGGTACCTTGCACACGCTGAAGCTTCCCTGTACCTGCAGAAGCAAAACACAGCCCCAAAGCATGATTGACCCTCCACCATGCTTCACAGTAGGCAAGGTGTTCTTTTCATCATAGGCCTTGTTCTTCCTCCTCCAAACATAGCGTTGATCCATGGGCCCAAACAGTTCTAATTTTGTTTCATCAGTCCACAGAACACTATCCCACAACTTTTGTGGTTTGTCCACATGGCTTTTGGCATACTGCAGTCGACTCTTCTTATTCTTTGGAGACAGCAAGGGGGTACGCCTGGGAGTTCTGGCACGGAGGCCTTCATTACGCAGTGTGCGTCTTATTGTCTGGGCTGAAACTTCTGTACCCACATCTGACAAATCTTTTCTCAGTTCCTCAGCAGTCACACGGGGACTTCTCTCCACTCTACGCTTCAGGTAGCGCACAGCAGTCGAAGTCAGCATCTTCTTTCTGCCACGACCAGGTAGCGTTTCAACAGTGCCCTTTGCCTTGAATTTGCGAATGATGCTTCCTAAGGTGTCTCTTGGTATGTTTAACATCTTTGCAATCTTCTTATAGCCATTGCCCTTCCTGTGAAGAGAAATCACCTCTTCTCTTGTCTTCCTGGACCATTCTCTTGCCTTCACCATGTTTGTAACCACACCAGTAAATGTCTAGAAGGAGCTGAGTATCACAGTCATTTTAAAGCTGCCTAATTGGTGCTTATTATGCTTGATTGCTGCTCGGTGACATCCACAGGTGTTTTCAATACCTGATGGAAAGCACCTGTATGAACCTCTGTTCTTCAGAGTGGTAGTCTTTAAGGGGTTGAATAATTGTGGCAATGAAGAAACCACATAAGAACCATTTACTACTGTATTACATAAACAATTGATGTCATTTTAGTTGCATTTGGGTAGTTACAACGTCCTTGTAGGATTTGATTCTGAATACAATTCCAAATGTACACTATAGTCCCTAAACCCCTTTACAGCATTGGGGGTTGAATAATTTTGGTCACAACTGTAGTACAGGAGATGACCAGACACTGCGGACATAGTACAGGAGATGACCAGAGACTGCGGACATAGTACAGGAGATGACCAGAGACTGCGGACATAGTACAGGAGATGACCAGAGACTGCGGACATAGTACAGGAGATGACCAGAGACTGCGGACATAGTACAGGAGATGACCAGAGACTGTGGACGTACTACAGGAGATGACCAGAGACTGCAGACATAGTACAGGAGATGACCAGAGGCTGCAGACATAGTACAGGAGATGACCAGAGACTGCGGACATAGTACAGGAGATGACCAGAGACTGCGGACATAGTACAGGAGATGACCAGAGACTGCGGACATAGTACAGGAGATGACCAGAGACTGCGGACATAGTACAGGAGATGACCAGAGACTGTGGACGTACTACAGGAGATGACCAGAGACTGCAGACATAGTACAGGAGATGACCAGAGGCTGCAGACATAGTACAGGAGATGACAGAGACTGCGGACACAGTACAGGAGATGACCAGAGACTGCGGACACAGTACAGGAGATGACCAGAGACTGCGGACATAGTACAGGAGATGACCAGAGACTGCGGGCACAGTACAGGAGATGACCAGAGACTGCGGACAGTACAGGTGCGGACAGTACAGATGACCAGAGACTGTGGACACAGTACAGGAGATGACCAGAGACTGCGGACAGTACAGGTGCAGACAGTACAGATGACCAGAGACTGCGGACACAGTACAGGTGCAGACAGTACAGATGACCAGAGACTGCGGACACAGTACAGGAGATGACAAAGACTGCGGACACAGTACAGGAGATGACCAGAGACTGTGGACGTACTACAGGAGATGACCAGAGACTGCAGACATAGTACAGGAGATGACCAGAGACTGCATACATAGTGCCACCTATCAGTGCCAGTCAGTGTCGCTTATCAGTGCCGCCTATCAGTGCCAGTCAGTGCCATCTAACAGTGCCAATCATTGCCGCCTAACAGTGCCAATCATTGCTGCTTATCAGTGCCTCCTATCAGTGCCATATATCAGTGTCATGTATCAGTGCTGCCTTTCAGTGCCCATCAGTGATGCCTGTCAATGCCCATCAGTGCAACCTAACAGTGCCTCCCCATCAGTGCCACCTATCAGTGTCCATCAGTGCAGCCTATCAGTGCCCATCACTGCAGCCTCATTAGCGCACATCAGTGAAGGAGAAAAATCACTTATTTACAAAATTGTATAACAAAAACTAAGAAAAAACGTGTTTTTTTTCAAAATTTTCAGTGGTTTTTGGTTTGTTTAAGAATAAATAAAAATTCCAGAGGTGATTAAATACCACCAAAAGAAAGCTCTACCTGTCTCAAAAAAATGATAAAAATTTCATATGGGTACAGTGTTGCATGACCGTGCAATTGTCATTCAAAGTGTGACAGCGCTGAAAGCTGGAAATTGGCCTGGGCAGGAAGGGGGTATAAGTGCCCTGTAGGCTAGTGGTTAAAGAATTCAGGACTTTTGGAACATAATAAAATTGACCTTTAACAGCCTCTCCCGCCTGCCATATAAGGAAATGACGGGCGCAAAGTGGTTCTCTCGTTCTGGGACGACGTCATATGACGTCGTCCCACTCTGACCGTGCATGCGTTGCCGCGGGAGCGCGCCGTGCGGCGATCGCTGTTGATCTGTGTTCCTGGGACCAACAGCGATCGCGGCAAGGAGCGGTTGGCTGTGGTTTTTTCCATGTGACAGGCTCTGATCAATCACAGCCTGTCATAAGTGTAAACACAGAGCGGTAACTCACTGTTACCAGTTTCCTCTCCTCACACACAGATCTTGTGTGAGGAGAGGAATCTTCTAATAGTGAGTTACCATTTTTTTACAGTGCATACAGAGATCACAGCCCCTGTCACAGTGCCCATCAGTGTATCTGTTGCCCATCAGTCTACCTGTCACCATCCGTGTACCTTTCATTTATCAGTGCACCTGTCACCCATCAGTGTCCACCAGTGCACCCGTCACCAATCAGTGCTCCTGTCGCCCATCAGTACCCATCAGTAGTGCTCCTGTCGCGCATCAGTACCCATCAGTAGTGCTCCTGTCGCCCATCAGTGCACCTGTCGCCAATCAGTGCCCATCAGTGCACCTGTCGCCTATCAGTGCCCATCAGTGCACCTGTCGCCTATCAGTGCCTATCAGTGTACCCGTCGCCCATTGGTGTACCTGTCGCCGAACCAGCAGTGTACCTGTCACCCATCAGTGTACCTGTTGCACATCAGTGCTCATCAGCAGCGCATCTGTCGCCCAGCAGTGCACAGCAGTGTACCTGTCACCCATCAATGTACCTCTCGCACATCAGTGCACATCAGCACCACATCTGTCACCCAGCAGTGCACCTGTCGCACATCAGTGCTCATCAGCACCACATCTGTCACCCAGCAGTGCACCTGTCGCACATCAGTGCTCATCAGCAGCGCATCTGTCACCCAGCAGTGCACCTGTCACCCATCAGCGTACCTGTCGCCCATCAGTGCCCATCAGCAGTACACCTGTTGTCCATCAGTGCCGCCATCAGCAGAGTACCGTCACACAGCCAACATCACCAGAGTATCCGTCCTACAGTCAACATCAGCACAGCAATCTACCTGTCCCAGTGCCATCAGAGCTAGCCATGTGAAAACAAGTTTACACTAGTGAGGAAGCATTCAAAATCCTTAGTATGAAAGATGAGAGCAGCAGGGAGCTCTCACCTTCCGATACTGATTCAGTGTACGAGCCCATAGAGAGTAGTGGGTCAGCGACTGAATCAGAGGAGGAAAGGGTCCCTCCTAAAAGGATACGGTGCTCTGAAAACGAGGCAGCCACCAGCAGCGCCATACACCCAAATGGTCAATTTGCAAATGCTAATGGCACTAGACCCATAGAGGAAAGACCCAGTACCAGCACTGTAATATTCCATCAACCCCCAAGAATCAGGGCCCAAACATACATCCCAGATGCTCTTGCCAACCCATTATGGCTGCCCTCCAACTCAGGATTAGCAAGCATTCCCCCTTTCACCGCACAGCCAAGTGTGCAGGCCAACACAGAGAATTTTTCAGCAATTGATTTTTTTAATTTATTTTTGCCCGACACTTTATTACAGTTTATTGTGGACAAGACAAACCTTTATGCCACCCAATTCATTTCTAACAACCCCAGTTCATCCTATGCCCATACGTTTGAATGGAGACCACTTACATTGGAGGAATTTAGGTTATTTTGGGGCCTCACCCTTAACATAGGGATCACAAAAAAAATGAAGGACATGCATACTGGTCCACACACCTAATCCACCACATGCCACTTTATTCTTCTATAATGCCCAGGTCACGCTACAAGATGATCATGTGTTTCCTTCATTTCAGTGACAATACCCAGTGCCCTCCCAGAGATCCCCCAAATTATGACAAATTATATAAAATTCGCCCACTTCTTAATTTTTTTTCCCAAAAATTTGCTGAACTTCTTGTCCCCAATAAAAAATATATGTGTAGACAAATCCCTTGTCCACTTCACTGGCCAGCTTGGAATTAAGCAGTATATTCCAAGGAAGAGGGCAAGATATGGAGATCTGCAAGCTTTGTGATATTTATATACGGGATATTTATATGCATTCCCTATATATGAAAGTAAAGATTCCCAGCTCCATCCCCCTGAGTGCCCAACCTACATTGGAACAAGTGGGAAAATTGTCTGGGACCTGGCTTATCCACTTTTTCAAAAAGGTTATCACGTTTATATGGATAATTTCTACACCAGTCTGCCCCTTTTCTGACACCTGCACCGTGAGAAAACCCTGGCCTGCGGTACCTCCCGAAAAAACAAAGGGCTTCCCACAATTTTTAGTGAATACCAGGCTACAAAGGGGGGAATCCGCAAGCCTAAGAAATGACGAAGTGCTGGCCCTGAAGTGGAAGGATAAGAGAGACGTTTACGTCCTGTCCACCATCCACAACGTCACCTCGGTCGAAATTACTGGAAGACACGGTCCAATTCAAAAACTTGTGGTCATCCAAGATTATAATCTCTACATGGGGGGGGGGGGTGGATTTCAGTGATCAAATGTCGCAGCCCTATTTAGCAACAAGAAGGTCCCGTTTCTGGTATAAAAAAGTTGCAATCTATTTTATACATTTTTTTATATATAATGCGTATGTTACCTACACCAAATCCACAGAAAGACCCACTGCCCTCCTTAAATTTATAGAAGAAGTTGTCACGTCCCTTATCTATCAGCAAGGATCCCCCCCAGAAAGCATTCATTCCGATTCTGTGAGCAGACTTCATGAGCGCAACTTCCCTAAGAACATTCCACGAACAGAAGCAGGTCGAAGACGCCAAAAAAGATGTTGGGTATGCAGCAGAGGAGGAGTTAGAAAAGAAACAAGTTTTCACTGTCCCCAATGTCCCTCCCAATCAGGCCTGTGCATTGGAGACTGCTTTGAACGTTTTCACGTTACTAAGATATTAGCCCATATTTCAAACTGCCTGCCATTTCCCCATTTCAATATCTCTCTGCTGATCAGTTGCCTGCTACCCCCAACCAACCATGCTACTGCCTTCTACCTTATCCGACCCCGGCCTGTTTATCGACTATGCCTTTGCCTGCCGTTTGCAATGTTTATCCACCACGTTTCTGCCTTCCACATGAACTGACCCTGGCCTGTTTATCGACTATGCTTCTGCCTGACATCTGGATTATCAGCCATGTTTATGCCTTCTTCCTGGACTGACCTCGGCCTATTAATCGTTTATGTTTTTTGCCTGCCACTTGGATTGATATTTTGCCCTGCTACTGTAGTAGTAGGATTCAGAATAACACAGGGGTCTCACATATGTGAGGGGCTTCAGAGTAGAGTTCTGAGCAGAGTAAACCAGTTTTTGGTTTTCTCTGGGTTTTGTAATTCCCAGAACAGGGTCTGGTTGTCCGGAGGCTTTGAAGAGATTGGATGGGACAAAGCCTCTACCCCTGTGCCCTGGTCCTACCTGACCAAGGCCTAAGCCTGATGTTCCTGCCTGGACAAATACCTTGGCTGTGCTGACCATATCTCTGCCTGCTCCCTGTAATTGTGAGATGGGGAAACAGCTCTCATTGTTTGAACACTGTTTGTGTGGAGTAAATGAAATGTTCTGGACTGACATTCTGCGGTTTAGACACAAGATGCCACTGTTTTCCTAACACAGCCTCAGACTGCATAGATATTTCTATATTCATGAAGAGGTGGGGTTTTCTCTCAGAGTTTAGAGAACAGGAAGAGGAGAGAGGAGCCATGTTTGGATGATGGTGAATGAGGGAGCCGGGTGAGAAGAGAATCTGATGGCATCCAGGTGTGAGAGCATCCCTCAGTATCCAGAGCTTCAGCTAAGTGAAGCTGATCATGTCCAAGACCCTGATCCTGTTCAGAGAAAGGAAGGTTGCTGCCAGGAATGCTGATAAGAGCAGAGGAACAAAGCAACATACACTGCAATACCGCATGCTTGTTGGAGAGACATTTGTTCTGTTCAGAGTCACCAGCGAATACAAAGCAGACCCGGGTCGGTAAGATCGTGCACGCACCTCATTTCAGTGTTGGCGCCTAGAGACTGAGATCAGGCCTATAGTTAGTTAGTTAGGGTCTCTGTTTGTGTCAGGCCACAAGTGTTACTACTGATCATTGGAAGGACTTCATAACTTAAAGTGACATTTCACATTGGAGAGCTGATAAAATCCCACAAACTCAAGCCAGACTGGAGTTTTGCTGAGAAGGAATACTCAGGCACATGCTACAGGACCAGTTATGGGAGGGGGAATACTGTAGATTCTTGCAAGATTGTAAACTGTTGTGCTGCACCGCAGGCTAGCCCATACCATACACCCATACACTGATTCCTGCTCTTTTAGGGTAATAACGGGTAAGGTGCGGGAGCTTAGTTGTGCCCGCCAGTAGGTAAATTACTACTCTTTCTACCTTCATCCATCAGAAGGCACCATGCTGTGCAACACAAGGATCTCAGCCTTTGGGCTGGGTGTATGTAAATTTATTGTATGTTCTCAGCATTTGTGGTTGTGTTTATTTGCCACATCTAAGTAAAATTCTGTTGTGGCAAAAAGCTGGTGTTGAG